TACTCGGTCCTTGTTCAGTTATTGTTAGTGTCCAGTTCTCCAGATGATAATCTTTTATATAGTACCGTTAAAGATCTGTGCTACCTCTCTACTCGAGACTTTCCAAGCAGGCTTCTGTATCTCCAATCCCTTGAATTAATTTGGCTGCTTTACTCGAATTTTGTATAACTTATACATTATACTACATTCCACAACCTCCCAATATAAGTTGGTGAGACCAAAATTACAGGTGCTTACCCAATCGATATGTTATACAGTTTTACTATAATGCATTTCTGCAAATTTGAATTTTGTCAATGGTGAGATTCGAACTCTTGTTCTGCTGCTTGGAGGTGCAACAACTTACCAACTATACTAAGTCGCCACACCCTTTAAGATGTAACTTATAGGGGTATAAATAAATAATAAATAAAAGAAAATATAACAGAATAATCATTATACTAAATAAGATCGTTATACTTATATAATTAACAGGGCTGTAGTTATATAAATTATAGAATAACAATCTGGGGTCTTTGCCTTGAAAATGACCTTACGGTACATGATACCGTAAGATTATTTTCAAGGCAAAGACCCCATCTAACACTTTCATGTATTAACCTGGGCTTGTCCCCATGATATGTTCATTAAATGGCTACACATCATTATACATACGTACATATGTTTCTAAAAAAGAAACTAAAATTAGAGCACGTATTAGTAATTAGGGTACATATTAGTATGGCTTATTACACTTATTTTTAGATATAAGTCATTTTTATATTTTTCTTCCAAAAAAGAAAAATAGCTTATTATTGGATGTAGCTTATTTTCAGAAATATATGGTATACTAATGAAAAATAAATCTTACTATTTGAATTCACATTTCTGTTCTATCTATTATAGCTTAGATTTGTTTATATTTAAATTTCAAATTCTGATTAAACTAATATTTCAAAAGTTTTATTACCATAGTGTACTAATCAAAGTACCTAAGGTACAATACAATCTACTCATCAAAAAACTTACAAAGGACTCAGATATATTATGCTATAGCAGGTCTGTGTTGCAAGAAAAAAACTTTCAAACATACACATATTCCATATTTACAATAAGCAGCTTAAAAATTTAAAAAAAACTATTTTTAATTAATAGAGATCTCGTGTTTTGCATCAGGATACTTTGCACAGAAAGTACTGAAAAAGGGAGTACTTTAGTCAGTACACTACGATAATAAATGATTCTCGTAAACTAAAGAATGTTTATAATTTAATGTAATACAGTTCTATATATAAACTACTAAAGATACAAAAGAAAAAATTTTTTAATGATTATTTAAAAAAAAACATTTTTTCGTACTAAGTTAATCATTTTTAAATTTTTAAGTTAAGTTGTAAAGCTCATTAAAATGAATTTAATAATAGTTAGATCATTAAAATTAGCCTAGTAGATATCAAGATATCTTTAAAAAACATTTTGCTGTTTATATAAAATTCTTTAAGAACAATACAAAGAATTTTTATATAGTTGATGAAATGTTTTTCAAAGATATCTTGGCATCTACTAGGCTAATTTAAATATCTTGGCATCTACTAGGCTAATTTAAATAATTTAACTATTATTAAATTTATCTCAATGAGTTCTACAACTTTGTTTAAAGACTCAAAGATAATTAATTAACTTAGTATAAAAAAAGGATTTTCTTGGATAATCACTAGAAAATTTTTTCTTTTGTATCTATAGTGATTTATATATAGAACTGTATGTATCATATTATACTATGATTATTCTTTAGTTTATTAGGACATTATCAATTAATAAACTATATTTAAACAAATAATAGTTATATATAATATTTTTAGTTTTTTTTTAATTTAATTTATATAATGATTTTTAGTTTAATAATGATAGCATTTATTTTATAATTTATGAGATTTTAGTATACTTTATAATTAAACAAATCTTAAAAAAGTAAATTCTATTTTCTTACTAAAATAAAGTTAATTTTGAAGAATTTTTATGATTAACTTTATTATAAAAGTTAAAAAATAGGCTTAATATAATAAAAGCCTAAATATTTATTCTAAATATTTAATTTGACAACACTTTTTGTTTAAAATAATAATTTATCATAATTTAAATTTAACAAAATTTACATGAATTGAAAAAAAATTATTAAAATAAATTATAATTTTGGTAAAACACTATATAATATTTTAAAATAATATATTTATTTTAGTAAACTGTTATTTTTATATCCTTGAATTAGAAAATTAAATTTCTTGACTAATTGAATAGTACATACTTATTATATACAATAACATACTGTATATTTATAAAAGTACTAAAATTGGGTATAAAAATATCAGTTTTTTTTATTTTATTGTAAAATTAAAAACATGATATACAAATATTAAAAATTTTTAATGTTATAAATCTGCTGTTTATAATATTAATAAGATTTAAACTAATAAAAGTATTTATTAACAATAAATATAATTGAATATATGATTTGGATTTGGGATAAGATAAAATTTTAAAATTTGAAATAGGATTTAGGATTTAAAATGAAATAAGATTTGGGATTATAGGATTTGGAATAGAATAGAATTTGACTAAAGTTTGAAATTATGACAGTCTATATAGGATTTCTCCAATTTGAAATTTGGAATTTGTCTACATGAGATTTGGGTTTAAGTGAAATTTTAAGATTAATAGTTTTGCCAGCAAGTATATCCACAAAGCCTAAGAAAGATCGATCCGCTAAATTAATTTTCCGAACCTAACACCGGATAGGTCGACAGATCGATCTGCTGAAATTTTGGTTGCTATCCGTTGTAAATGGATAGATCAAAATTCAGCAAACCAACCAAAATTTAGGGTCGGAATAGGCCCGGAGCTAGGCCGGCATTAATTTGTTTTGGGGAAAAATTTATCAATTCCGGCCTATTCCGACCCTAAAGTTTGGTCGGTCTGCTGAATTTTGGTTGCGTAAATTAACAAAATTTTTTTGAATTTAAAATTTAGAAACATTTTTCATTTAAGGAACAAACGCGTAAAATTTAGCTGCATAATCCTTTAAAGTTTTTATTTTCTTTTAATTTATAGAATCTATAATATAAAAATCAATTTTCCGCAAAACCTTGTCAATTTTGTCCCTTTTCTCAGGCGTTCATTTTGGGAAAAATTTTTTTGTAAACAGGTAAATGTTCCAACACTAGTAATAATTTGTATATAAATACATGTTTTTTTTAAAAAAAAAGAAAAATTAAATTTATTAAATAATTGTATATATATGATTATTAATCAGGAAAATTTAAATTGGATTAATTTCAAACCAAAACGATTTCAAAAGCATATTGAAAATATATACTAATGTATCAACTAAATAAAGCGCTAAAGAAGTCATACCAAAGTTTAAGTATATGATAATAACAATGTATCTAATATGGATCTTAATTTTAAGCATATCAAGCTTCCTTTTCGCTTTATAAATGTAATTTTTTTCTTTCGTTCTCATTTTATAATAAATCCATTCACATTACGCATCAAAATTTAAATAAAAAATATAGTACCTTAAATACTATTGGTTATAAAAAACATAATCTAAAATTATATAACATTGAAATGCCGAACATCAAATCATTTTCTTCTTGAAAGATCTCTAAAAGCAGAATCAATACAATTTTTTATCTCTTTATAAGACACAATAAGACATGATTGCTCGTCTCTCGACATTAACATTATTCTTTCATCAACACCTGCATCCAACTACAATAATAATAATAAGCAATCACGAAAAATAAAATGCGAAACATGAACGCAACGACTTATTTACCTTGTTTAAGCATGTTAATACATGAGACATATCAACGATCGGATAACCATTCTCATCGACTTGATGAAATACATAGTCTCTGAAAAGTTTAATTAAATATCTATCACCAGTTTCTGACCAACTTGGGTCCATGTCAAATCTATTATACGTGTATATAAAAGTTTTAGTTACATTCGAATAATGTTATCAATATTATTATTAATCAACAGCACTTACTCGGGGCGTTCATTGATAAATCCAAATTTACATAATAAGCGAACCAACCTTCCATTTTCTAATTCTTTACTTAGCTCGCTTTCTAAAAAATCGTTATAACTAATGAAAAGAGCCAACACAATCGTGAGCTAATTTTAACTTTTTCATGAATCATGTGCTTAATAATGAGGCAATAAACTCATATTTTCAAATTTCATTTAACACGTCATTTCATTACACAATACATACTGATGAGCGCTGTTAATCTCATGCAATGTTTTTGATGCGATCATTGCCACAACATCATCTATAGTTTTGTCAGGAGTTGGTTTGCTTATCAAATATAATATAACATTTTTAAGATCATGTGAATATTGTCGAGAAATGAACTCGATTGATTTTGGCAGATTATGGATAGATGAAAGAGAATTGCACGCAAGGGCGATAATTAAGTGTCCGAAATGTAAAAGATCTTCTTGCTAAATTATATTACATTGGAAGAGCAAGAATATTCAGTTCATCCGTATATGTAATGTCAGTTGTAAAATAAGTTTGTGATTGATATACGAGGAGACGTCAACAAAATCCAGGAAAATTATTTTATTTTTCAAATTTCACTTAACAATTACCTCGAAAATTTGTTAATTTAGAATTTATTTATTTCTACAAACTTTTAGAATTAAATAAATTCTAAATTGATAAAATTGTTAAATTTATCAAGTTATTTAGTTTTAAAATATTTTAATAGTTTGTCTGAATTTGTTGACTCCACCGTATATATATACCCGTATTGAGATAATCATAGATTTTCCCAAAATAACAGCATAAATTTTATATCTCGTACCTGGTAATAATGTATATTTTTCCCACCATCAAAAGCAAGCATATCCATTATACCGCAACAATTCACGCGTATACTAGATACGAAAAGAATATTCGTAAACTAGTAATAACCTCAAATGACAATTAAAGAAGTCGAATTACTGTCTCACCGATTTTTGCCAGTAAGTAAAATTTTCGTTGGCTCAATCATTCTTGCTGCTAGATCTGATGCATGTATAGTTTTAATCGCAGACGCTAATTGAACAATGTAACTCCATAGAACAGTCTCTGGGATATTAGCAACAACTCCTGGAATTTGAACAGCAGTCTGTATCGGAGAGGAGAAATGTTTGTCGAACAATGTCTGTGACAATGGATGATAGTCATAGACAAAAACAAGGGCTTTCATATGATTGATCGTTAAATACGAATCAGAAAATAAAAAAAATAATGATAAAAAATCCTTTAATTTAATCTTAGCTTTCATCTTTTACATTATATACTTGAAAGTCACTCACAATGATCTCCAAAAGCTTTTGTAGTAAATGCTTCACGTATCGAAACGATATTTGCATGTCTGATTCGTCGCCAACTTTCTATTGTCGACATAGCTATTTCATTCGTCAAACGAAAGCCTGTAGTTGCCACCGGTGAGTCCAACTTTACATATATGTATTGTAGTAAAATATAGAATGCACAAACAAAGTACCTTCGATCCTCCTCAGACAGTAAACACGGCCATCAACATTACAAATTGATTTGTATGTAAAACTTGGGTATCCAAAAATTTTTACCGATTTGCCTTGTCGCAAATCAAGTGGGTACAGTGAATGATAAACATGAAGCTCTTCGGGTAAATTAAAATCTTTAGCTATAGTAAACAAGAAGTGAGAACACAATATCTTCATTATAGATGAATCGTTAGCGTTGAAACTATTATTACCATTTACGGAACTCAGTGTTGCTTCGTTTTTTTGCTGCAATTCTTCACGGAGATGATCAGACATAAAGAACGCGTGAATAGTCTTTTGATGTGGATGCAAATTTGAAACATGCGGAAGTGGTGATGTATAAAGGTGATACTGAAGCTGCACGAAAACATAATTTTAGTCAATCACTAGAGCTGTGTTGGAATGACTATGCTTATTATAATTAGTATGTAAGGTTCGGATAGTAATCCTGGTTTCATCTAATAGAGCCGTCAACTCTACTAGAAACAAAAAAAAAAAAAAAAAAGGCCAAAAAATGAAACTGTTAACATTCTTAAGTTAAAACAGAAAAATGTACCGGTTGAGGAATTAATGTTTGCTGTGAATGATATAAAAATGGATCCACATATTGTGAACTTGTGAAATAACTTGTATTGTTCATATGTTGAGTTGTCACATCCGGCAATGTGTCAAGAGCAGAAAATTGCGTTGCCTAAATGTAAGCATGTAATGGTAAAAAGGTTGTTTTAAAATAAAACAAAAAAAAAGCTTACTAAAAACTTAAATATAAAAATGTAATTGACATTGTTGTTTAATACCAATGAAGCAAATGAATTAGCAAGAGCATTCAAGCCGTGGCCTTTGACACCACCAGAGGACAATAAAAATGGTTTAGATGATGTTAATGACTGTGATGAGTAGAAACCAATAGTAGGGTCAAATATCGACATACTAAAAATAGCAAGCCGAAATAAGAATAAATTAGAAACTATCTGCACATTATTTAGTAAGTATAGAGAATAAAAATGGCAACGTGCGGTACTCTGCATCATATTCATGTTCGCCAGAATCATAAAAAAGTTGTTGCTGTGGTGAACCTAACAAATGAAATAATTCAAGCAAATTAGATACTAATTTATATAAGTTCACTTGAAAGATAAGGACAGTAAAAGCTATTACCTGGTGCACTCGGAGGAGTGATTGGTGTTTCATCAGCAACACTCACTTTTAAAAAGTTAAACAAATAAGCATACATTTATTGCGCAAGATAAGTAAATTCAAATACTAACATTGGTGGTTTTGGGGAATAAATGGCGGGGCGTTTACAACCTCTGGAGAGATTGTCGAAAGGGTATTAGATGGTTTGAATACAGGAGAATTAACACTCAGCTTGGATTTAGCTCTGAATAATATCGAATTCAACCGTTAATGTAATAACAAATAACGAAAAGGTAACGCAAATTCAAGGATCGGTGTAGCTTACGTTTCAGGACTGTTTGGAGGAGACGTCGATTTGTTCTAATGTAGGAAAAAGGGATGTAGTTTAACAATTCTTGTACCAACGGTTGTAAATAAGTGCAATTTGATTCTATTCAAAATTTTTACTATAATGAATTATAATGAATGACATTTATTCAAATAGGGGAAAATCCGAGATTGCCACGATCTAACTGATACAATGAGAGGTTGGAATAAACAGGTAGTAATAACTTACAATATCATGATTGAATTTGCATCCTTTCCCCTCGTATTTACAATAACCATGTATAATCAAATTTCGACAAGTCCGCGCTTTGGAATCCTGAGTTGAATCTATAATGGAAATTAGAAAAATTCATTAGACAAAGAAACACGAACACGTACCTATAATTTAAGCAAAAGCGAAAATTTAAGCAAAAGACCAACATTTGGAAGGAACGTTCTTAGAGATTTCTTTTTCCGAAGTCGGTGCAACAATGGGAATAGCAGCCGAACCAGATTGAGTTGGATTTGAATATAAAGACATAGCAAACGAGTATCAGGTAAATATAAACACGACCAGATTTCGGGCTTTAAGAGCAAGTTTTGGCGAACGAAATTTGAAAATTGGATACGTAATAATTTTTGTGGTAATATACCAATACTTAGTTTTTACACTATTCGAATGTGATCACGAGATTTTAATAAATTACAGATCTCGATCACCGATACGCATTTTAACAGTAAACACTGTATCAGGTACGTATGTGCGTACGTATGAGGTTTTAAGAGATTATGCTTTATTAAACTTTGAATAACAAGGACTTAAGGCCATACAAAATTAATTTTTTGTTTCTCATAACATTAAATTTTAAAATGACCCGGCCGGCCGGCTTTTTCTTTTAAATTTTATATATAAAATTTTATAAAATTTAAAATATTTTTTGAAACCCCACCAGACTATTAAAACATATAAAAAATTTTTCTTCAAAAGTTTTCAAAATTTGACCCGGCCGGGTTATGAGAAACAATTATTCTTTTTTTAAATATCTGGCTTTGGAATAGCAAAACACAAGTATAATTTGAGTTATTACGAAAACCTAAAGGACTACTTTATTATAACACATACTTCAATCATATAAATTTTATACGATCAGAATTACTTCATATCGCCTGCGCCGCAATATTAATGTGTAACATAAATAAAATAAAGTGCGCGATAACGCTTTATGGTTAGGGTGCAGTTTAGGTTAGATTTAGGGTGCGAGTAGAGTATAGCCTATACCAAAATTTTGCAAGAAATTTTTTTTGCTACAGTACGGGACAGTAAAAGACATCCAATCTATACATAGAGGCGCCAATTTTTGATGCTTATATAATCAATTCTGATTGGCTAATTTTTGTGTAATTGTTTCTGATTGGTTAAAAATATCTATATATTTTCTTTTTTTCTATATTAAACGCCAATTTTTTGAACTCATATAAACTTTAATTCTTTATAACTTTTCCAAAACAAAGAATAAAAAAAAATCCTCTGACAGAAATGTAGTTTATCTAAAAATCTATTAATTTGTCAGAGGATTTTTTGATTTAGCTTGTTTTAAAAAAGTTATAACACTTTAAAGTTTTTACTAATAAACATTGGATGTGTTTTACTGTCCGGTACTGTAGAACGTAAAAGATGAATTCTTTATATTACACCTGATCTTGCAGTTTGATTGGTTAATCACATTGCAGTGATCATTGCCACAGGCGATAAATAGCAAATCTCTTATACGAAAAATCTAGTCACGTGCTTAAGTGTATAGAGTGTAACTGGCTGAGGTAAGAGCCAGGGATGACTTTATTAGAGATAAAAGTAGGAATAGTATATATAATAGGAACTGAAATGATGATTATCTCAAGAAGTTAGCAATAGTAGAATCACTGTAACAGACTAGATGGAAAATTAAATAGACAATAAAAGCTTTATGATAAATATTCAGCCGGTGGTTTTCTGTTTGCTGAGGCAGGCCGGCTGTTAGAATGGCAGTATCATGTGATCGTTTCAAGGGCTGATCATAATGCTAACATTTGGAAACATTTGTTATGCATTTATTTTTATACAATTATCATCTTTTTTTTTTTTTTTTTTTTTTTTTTTTTTTTTTTTTTTTTTTTTTTTGGGTGGTTTTTTTTTTTTTTGTTTTTTTTTTTTTTTTTTTTTTCTTCTTCTTGTTTTTTTTTTCTTTCCTTTTTTTATTTTTTTTTAGATAAATC